CTTTGCAGATTATGGTAACTATTTCAATAAGAATGGAAGCGTTGGATGTTAAGGGAGATCACCAGGAAAAACAACGTTTCATAACATGTGATAGTCACTGATATTTCTAACTCCTGAGTGTGTGATTAATGCCTGATTCAACAGTGAGTAACCGACATAAAAAAATTTTAAATATATTTCAATCAAAAAATTCAAACGATAACTGCACGATTTACGTCAATAAACCATTTTCAGCTAAACCAGCTTCCGGGAAACGAAAGTTAAATTTTTTTGCCGTTTTGAACTAGCGTAACCCTGGCATCAGATTTTTCACATTCTAACCATTGCGAAGGAAAAAGGATTTATAGCAAAATTTCCCAGCCTTTATTCCCTAATTTACCTCTTTGCGAATTTAAGATAAAATTCAAATCGAACGTGTTTTATGTCCATAAATCGCGGCATTTCAATGCATTTTTACGTGTGATATGTCAGTTTTTGGAAAATATAAAAGGGCTTCGAATAAAATCATAATCGGAATATCTTACTGATATATTTAGCATTAAATTTGCGTTGCGCTGTTTGAACAGAAAGTAAATGGTTGACGTGAACTGCCGCGACTTTTTGAACGATAATGAGCTCATATAATCACCACGAATATACTTTGGGAATGCGTTACTTTGAAATTAGTTGAACGATAGCGGGAATTGCACCGGGGATTTTGATAATATTGAGTGGTTCTGAGCACCATATGCTATACTATACCTACACCGGCATAATTGATAAATGTTATCTAGTGCCAGGCCTGGGCTAAAGTTCCATAAAATAATTTGGAAGCCAACTTATATTATTTATCTTAGTTCAACTGTGGTACAAATATAAATTCAGCACTAACACACGGCCATGGAATGTTGTGATCAACTGATCAGTGACTCGTATCGCTCACCCATCTATGAAACCAACGCACGCAACGCCGAATATGGACAAGGGGTACCTGGGGCATTTTCTATACATAAGGCGCACTGGGATAGAAGACTTAGCCCGTACTGATACTGATTTTGAGTGTAGCGTTAACTAATCCATACATTTGTGGGCGCTCCTGTAGTATGTGCACCAAGATGGCGCACAACCTGAACCCGAACTTGGTACACATACTATGTTCAGGTTGTGCGCCATCTTGGTGCACATACTACGGGAGCATCCATTTGTGTAATTTGCTCATAAGCGCACGATCAATTTTCAAGATAAAAAAGGATTTGGGCGTTACATTTGTTAAATATCAGTGACTGTCTGTACAGGACCCTGTTGGGGGCGAAGGACCCGAACAAGCTCGGTATAATATATATTAAGTCGAACGCTTCAACCGATAGGCCATCGCGTCGTCAAAACAGTGGGCTTATATCGATCATCCGGAAATAGCTGTGACAAAGACAATTCTGACAGTGAGTTGTGTGGTAAGTTTACTATTTTTGTTAACAGCTATCATGCGTTGAGAGCATGGATTGCAAAAGATGGAAAAAATTTCTTTTCTATATTTTTAAATATTCGTGATATGTCAGAAATATCGTCACATCAATTGGTACCCCGATTTCAAATTTGATTGGCTGACGTCAAAGGGTGGGCAATTACTTTTCCGAGTGGGCTAATTACACATATTTACAAATTTATATCCAAAAAACTATAGTCGGTATTTAAGCAGATACAAGTGGGCCGGATGAAACACTTCGGTGGCCCGCAGGCCGTAATTAGCCCACCCATGTATCAAGCGCGCGCAAACAATATTTTTGTGGTAAATCTACCTTGTGTGGGAATTACAAGGGAGACTCTAACCCGAGTCCCACTATATCACTTTAGCGCAGCGGTTCTAACTCTTTAGCACTTTACTTAGTTTACTAATTTTAACCCAAAAGTACCCAATAGTGTTCATTAATTGGAAAAGAAATTAGTAAATTATCTCATTATATTCATTTGAAGTGACGACTTCCTTTATTTATTGGCAAATCGCTGTTCAATGTCTGACTAGCGCAGTGATTTCCCCACGCCACTCCCATAAGGGGCAAACACCCCCCTACAATTTCAGACATCCTGTCTAGTGTTGGGTCATATAGGCAGCAAAATTTAATTTAATTCTAATTATGTTGGGTTTTTATCGTATTTGGACTTTAAATTCCCACTTTAATTTACTTCTGTTATAAAAGGTCGCCCATAACCATTTGAAGTCGTAACAAGTGGGAATAAAAATCGAAGCGATAATTCCCACACAAGGTATATTTCTCATAAAAATGTTGTTTGAAATAATATGAACGCCCTGCTTGGTTTGTCACAAAGCCAATTAAATTTAAAATCATAGCACCAAAAATATGCGGCAATTTTGCGCTTATGGTAAATATTTCAAGAAGAACGGAAGCGTTGGGGGTTAAGGGAGATCATCAGGAAAAACAACGTTTCATAACATGTGATAGTCACTGATATTTCCAACTCCGGAGTGTGTGATCAATGCCTGATTCAACAGTGAGTAAGCGACATAAAAAAAAAATTTCATTTTATTTCAATCAAAAAATTCAAACGATAACTGCACGATTTACGTCAATAAACCATTAGTTTCCAGGAAACGAAAGTTGAAAATTTATGCCGATTTGAACTGGCATAACCCTGGCATCCGATTTTTCACATTTTAGCCATTGCCAACGGAATAGCAATGCAAATAAAGCCGTCATCTATCTCGCATTTGTTTGCTGTTATCGGGATTTATAGCAAAGGTTTTCAGCCTTTTTTCCCTAATTTACATCTTTGCGAATTTAAAATAAAATTCAACCCGCCATGGCAAAATCCGACGTGTTTTATGTCCATAAATCGCGGCATTTCAATGCATTTTTACGTGTGATATGTCAGTTTTTGGAAAATATAAAAGGGCTTCGATTACAAGCATAATCAGAATATCGTACTGATATATTTAGCATTAAATTTGCGTTGCGCTGTTTGAACAGAAAGTAAATGATTGACGTGAACTGCCGCGACTTTTTGAACGATAATGAGCTCATATAATCACCACGAATATACTTTGAAACTGCGTTACTTTGAAAGCATGGTGTTACTCATGAACGATGCAGCGAAAATTAGTTGAACGATGGCGGGAATTGCACAGGAAGTTTTGATAATTACCGGTATATCAGATTCTCAGCACCATATGCTATACTATACCTACACCGACATATTTGTTAAATGTTATCTAGTACCATGCCTGGACCAAAGCTCTATACATTCAGTTGGAAGCCAATATGATTGATTTAACTTAGTTCAACTGCGGCACAAACATAAATTCAACGCACTAACACACGGTCACGCAATGTTGTGATCAACTTAACAGCGACTTGTATCGCTCGCCCATCTACGAAATCCTTGCACGTAACTCCGAATATGGACAGGGGGATTTTTCTAGGCTAGACGGCTTCGCTCGTACTGATACTGGTTTTGAGTGCAGTGTTGCCTGACCCATACATTTGTGGAACTGACCTATAAGGCGCGCGATCAATTTTAAATGGCTCAAAAATTGCGCGGATGGATAAATAAAACATAATCATACCTTTGTCTCCTATTGCAAGGACTGAACAGGTATGAAAGATGCTGGGTCGCTTTGCAGAGCTGCATACTTTATTGCTGGGTCAAATTGATTGAAACTTATAACCGCTTAACTAAAGTGATGTCATTTTTCCATTTTATTAGCTTTCAACTTGAATTTTTTAACAAAATCATGCTTAATATTACTTGCGTGTAGCGAATCATAGGGTATTCAAATCTTTTCTTCCTAACGAATGGAATTTGGCGACGCAGCGCTCATATGTGGCTAATTTTTATTTTGCGCTTCTGAAGCAAGTGAACCGAGAATTCGACGTCCGAAATGCTATATTCGATGTCTAAAATCTCATTTTCGACGTTCGAAATCTTATATTCGATGTCTAAAACAGTGCTCTTCAACCGGGTAGACGGTATACCCAAGTGTACACCAGACCATAAGTTGGGTATACAACTGATAAAGGGTATACGAAAAGTGGACAGCCTATAAAATCTTCAATTGTATACAACAATGCAAACGCGGCGCACATGAAATGTAAAATGTTATTAACGCTAAGAACCGACGTGAGCACGTTGTTACACCACAAATTATATAGATAATATGGGCATGTGTCTGGGTTGGTGATTTCGGATGCCATGCACTTTGTTTGATTTACGTTGAACATTATTCCCGTCGACGTTAAGGCAGTCAGTCAAATTTATAACTTGCCGTCACTAGCCTATTAGATTGCATGATGATATTGCAGTACAATATATGCTTAAAATTTATTGTTTATTTGAGCCTTAAATAAACATTGGTATTTGTAAGGTATACAAAGTTCTTGAAAAACTGTAAAAGGTATACTTCGATAAAAAAGGTTGAAGAACACTGGTCCAAAACCTTATATTCGACGTCCGTAAACCTATATTCAACGTCCAAAATCTAATATTCGACGTCTAAAGTTCAATATTCGACATACGAAATATTGTATTCGATGTCCGAAATCCTGTAAGCCCCCGCTCAAAAAAAATTTGTAATTATCCAGTTAGATTGAAGGCTAGAAAAGCAGATTGCGCAGGAAAGTCAAATTTTTAGATCATTTCTGGCCCTAAATTCTTGATTTTTAGTTGATATATATATATTTATATCTACCCAGACTGGGCCACGCAATATTAAAAGCCGGCAATACATGTCTGGCCTGGATTTTCATATAATAGGATTCATGGTGTCGGTTAATATGCCATATTGCGCAAAAATTCACCAAAATTCCATCAAATATGACTCTCACGGGCATGGTAGTGACGTCGTCGTCATCGTTTCATAAAGATAGAAAGAGTAACCCAAACTCTCTTTTTGTGACGCAACACGTCTCCTGAAATTTGAAAGAGAGAAAACAATTTCACTTTCCGCTCAAAAGTAGTGAGTCAGCTTGCATAGGATATATTCCGATGCGAATAGACTGAAGCTTCATTCTAATCTTCGCTGTTCGAAAATTTACTTTCATCGAAGCAAAGTTGACGAAATTCTTGGATTCGAAATGAAGATTCCGATTCGACACAGTTTCATCGGACTCATACTGTTGATGGAAGCTTGTTTATTGATTAAAGGTCAGTACAACCGTGCATGCTTTGTTGGGTTTGCTTGCTTGCCTGAGTTTTGTTTTTTAGGGCGCACTAAAACTGACATGAGCAAACTATGGCCGGCGGGCCTATACTTGGCCAGTTTGTTAATTTAATTTGGCCCGCCTGATGCTACCACAACCAAACTAAAACCCAATTTGGATGTTTTAGCTAAAAAATAGCTCAAGGAATTTGAGGAAAATATGATTAAATTTTAGTAGGAGGCTTATGGTTTCCTCTTCTGCTTTTGTAAAACCGTTAAGACTGTTGATGAAATGTGACTTTTTGCGTCACACTTACATGGCCCGCCAGTCTAGGTGGGTGAAATTTTTGACCCCCTGTCCAAAAACCTTGCCACCCCTGCACGATAAAATAAATAATTTCGTTGGATATTTGATACCCAATTGGTAATTCTTACATCAAGTAAAACTTTTGCCTCAGTATATCAGGCAAGATAATTGAGCTGCTCTAAATGAAGCTGCACATTGAATAATTGTGCATGAATAATATTCTGGAATAATTTGTGTTAAAACTTACAAATTGTTAGTGTTGGCTGTTTTTTGGCTCTCCAGAAGTGTATGTACCAATATTAAGGTGACTAATTTCGTTCGCCTAACTTATATCGAGTTGTATAAAGAGACTGGAACTCATAGGCGGGGGGGTATATTTACTTGGCTATCACACACTAACCCTAACCTGGTACACTTACTATCAACTTATAATAATCGCTGATTTTACAAAAGCAAAAAATAAAATAATTACTAAATATTCCCCAGCAATTTTCGAATATAAAAATAAGATTAGTAGTTTATAGAAGGGTTAGTTATTTAAAAATTATATAAAGACTCAAACAATCAGGCCATTGATATCCAAACGGCATGAACGCTTTATATAGGTATTAAGGGCGCTCCGATAGTATGTGCACCAAGATGGCGCACAACCTGAACTTGGTATGTGTACCAGGCTAGGATTATCAGGTTGTGCGCCACCTTGGTGCGCTCCGGTAGTATGTGCACCAAGATGGCGCACAACCTGAACATGATATGTGTACCAGGCTAGGATTATCAGGTTGTGCGCCATCTTGGTGCACATACTACCGGAGCGCCGTATTAAGATTATAAGTATAGAATCCAGAAATCTAATAATATACGTTCTTATTGTAACGGTGTATTGGTGACATTATTGTAGATATTCCAATATTTTTTCTAAACCACATCGAAAAACTTAAATATGAAAAATAGGACTCCAGAAGTGTGTGTACCAATATGAAGGTGACTCATTTTGTTCGCTTATTTTACACCAAGTTTGTAAAGGAACTGAAACATATGGACAGGGTGGTATTCACTCGGCTAACACAGATGGGCCAACAACTCGTAATATAAATGAAATAAAATTTTGGCCTCATCCTAACCTGGTACACATACTTCGGGATTACCGTTTTTTAATCGGCTTATGATTATTGTTGATTTTACAAAAGCAAAAAGTAAAATAAATACTAAAAACCTCCCCAGCGATTTTGGAATATAAAAATTAGTGGTTTATACAGAGGGTTAGTTTTTTAAAAATTCTATAAAGACTCAAACAATCAGGCCAATGATATCCAAACGGCATGAACGCTTTATATAAGTATTAAGGGCGCTCCGATAGTATGTGCACTAAGATGGCGCACAACCTGAACATGGTATGTGTACCAGGCTAGGATTATCAGGTTGTGCGCCATCTTGGTGCCATACCACCGGACACCGGAGCGTATTAAGATTATAAGTATAGAATTCAAAAATTTAATAATATACGTTCTTATTGTAACAGTGTATTAGTGAATTTATTGTAGAAATTCCAATATTTTTTCCCAACCACATCGGAAAACTTGAGCAAAAATACGATGAAAAAACACTTTATTTGTCGAATTCAACAAATTTTAACATTTCATAATGTATTCGTAAATTGGCGATTTAGCCAATATAGGTGACACGGCGTAACTGTGAATTGAAACAATTCATTTGACAAATTTCAAATCTGCTTTATCGTTTTACGGCTGGAATATTTGTGTTAGGAGGAATATTTATTTATTGCGGCGTAGGGGAAGCCGGTATGACGGCGTAATAATATGACGACCCTCGGTCTCTCGATGAAAGTTGGACCAAAATTTAAATTTTGAGAATAATAATTTTTTATCTGATAGATATCCCCCTCGAATACCTCGTTGATTTTGTCTCGTATTGGATGCGTTGCTGTACTGTAAACAGGGCTGAGTTTACCGGGCAAAATAGGCCAAGTCTTGGGGCCTCGGCATTCAATTTTGTACTATTATTCGGTTTTAAGTCACTTTTGAATTGTAAAAGATTGTTATAGAATAAAACCAACTCAGAATTTTATAAAGCTGATATTAATCAAATAAATTCTCGTCTCAAATACCCACCGTTTCGAAAATTAAAAATAGTAAAATAACAAATTTGTATAAATTCAAATAATTGTACTCTGGTCTCATGGCGTCCCGCCTCAACGGCGGGCGTGAAATTTAAATTTGATTCGACCAATCATCATCGAGGAAAATAGTGCGTTCGCATGACGTAGGTAGCAGTATAAAATTAAATATGGAATAAGCCGATGCGCGCCATAAGGAAATAGGTACTAAAATAGTCTCTCTATAAAAAAAGTTCAGTGACATAACTTTCGTTTATATGTTAAAAAACCTATTTTAAAATGAACGATTAACTCGATTTCTAATTTATTTTTTTATTCTAACAGGAGAGGAATGCTGGATTCCTATGATTTGCGACGATCAACCTACTTGGAGAGAACTTACGGTGAGAGCTTTAGTAGTAGTTTCATACTGGTATTATTTCACTTTAATCCATGGGAACACTTTTTCACGGGGAACACTTGCTAAGCTAATGCCTTAATGCATGGATGTGCAACCTTCATGTCCATATATTTGAACATTTCTCTCTTGTTCTATTTCAGGAAGGACAGTGCACAAAAGAAGAAGAGAAAACTTTGGAAGGTTCGTGTCCACAATATTACTTCCTTTAAAATACTTTTAAAATACTATTTTTCATATTTGCCAAACGGTGTGATAGCTAACAATCGTTTAGGTACCTCTGAAGTATGCGTACCAAGATGGCGGAAATAGGAACGTAGTATGTTTACCATGTTAGGGTGAGGCTATAATTTAAGGTGCAAATACTACGGGAGTTACCTAATTAGTCCTCCAACTTGTAATTGAACTAAAATAAGGAAAATTAGAATTAAATTAGGACCTAATCCTAACCTGGTACAAATATTACGTTCCAATGTCCGCCATATTGGTACGCATTCTTCAAGAGCACCACCGTTTTATCAGTGAATTTCAATCATTTTCTATTTTTATTGCGCCATTTTTACCAATTAAATCATGACATATAGTTTAGCAATACCCATCTCATATTCTTATTTTTCATATCTTCAAACAAAAAAATTCACTGAATTCGGATTGTAAAACTGATGGCAATTTAAATTCTGTTTTATTTTTTATTTTCGCAGCTTTAACGGAACGATTAGACGGAATGAAAAGTGAGCTCAATCAATTAGAAAAGGTGATGGAAGAAGCAGAGACGAACTCAGTGCAGCCCTCTGTTGTAGGAGTCAAAGAAACGACCAATCCCCAGGGTATGAAAATACATGTATTTTGGTATCTCATGCACTTGATATCGAAAAAGTCCTTTTCAGTAATAGTAATCGGTAATAAGGCGATTGTGCGAAAACGCTGATATTGCGTGTCTCATTCTTAACTTGAAGTACCCGAACCTTCAAATCTTGCTATAAACTTATAATATAAATTCACTTTTTCACACAGGTAACAAAGTCAAGAACACGACACGCTCTTCAACTGTCCCTGCTACATCCCCGTGGTCAACTAAGGAAGCCTTTCTGTCTACTGTGCTCCCACAAACTACAAAAGTCGAACAGAGTACAGGTTGGTGTGGCCTTTTCTTTCTCGTTTTTCACTCGGAAAATATTTCTCCCCTAAACGCTTTTTAGTACACGTTAAATATCTTAATTAGGAATTCTCCAGAACAAGAAAATTGCGATGGTTTCCGGAAAAGTAGATTCTTATGTATTAGTAATTGTCTTGTCTAGCAAATTGTTTGGAGTGAGATTCGAAAACGAATCACGAAAACACTAAATGTATTTGCTCGAATAAAAGATATCAACGTTATGGCCTCAGATTATCCTTGAAAAAATGACTTTCTTTATCCATGAAAGGCGCCTTAAAATAGGACTTAGCAAAATTGCCTTAAGATGGCGTCATAGTTCGAGCGTTGCTCCTCTTTATGCCCTATAGTGTTGTTGCTGCTCTGTTCGACTCAAGAAATCGGATACTGGCGTAGTTAAGTAATTAAAGCGGGCACCCTTATCGGATTAAGTAATCCCCAAAAAATATCGTGAAAACGTCCGTATGTTTTGTCGTGTTTTTTTCCTCAATTTGGGGGGAATTTCCCTACTTTCCGCACGGTGAAGTTTTTCTAATGTCAATATGTGTTTTATATATGTCGACCAAACTTTTAGGGCCTCATTCAGAAAATTGCATGTGACATCACAATTACTATTCCCATTCACTATGATAGTGTCGAATTTAATGGTGGCTGAACCGGAAATGATAAAACATTGACACTGTGGGTCTCGTGTAGTTTCTTATCTGAATAACTTCTAGTGGGTATGGCGTAACAATTTTTGGATATATTATTCCTGACCCCCACCTGCTTACGTCATCAAAAAATCAAGAGCTGATTGCCCGCACGAAAGGCAGTGAGGGTTGTAGCTTGGTCATCCAGGCTCTAAATTATATTATAACGTAACAAGTATATAATTCACAATTACTCGTTTAATGAGCCTATAATTTAATTATCATTGGCCCGCCATGACTTGCAACCTTTAATTTTGGCCCGACAAAAGTTTGCCGAGCCCTGCTCTAAAGTCTTGGTTTTTTTTGTATGTTTTTTATTCGAGGTTAAGGAGATGAAAATACCTATGAAATTAGAATTTGGCAAATTTGTTGAAAAGTCTAGTCTGCACCTTTTAACTGTTTCAATGTTCAGTTACAGTACGTACCTGCCCAGTACCTGAAGCTCTAGACAACGGGATTGTGGACACTACGACCGCACCTGACTTAGAGTTTGGTCAAACAATCGAATATTCATGCAATGCTGGATACGTTCTTCAAGGATCAAACATGGGAAAATGCGGAGAAAATGGAACCTGGGGGGAAGTGCCCACCTGCGTAGGTGAGTGTTGACGCTTTGTATTCGAGGATAATTTTTAACTCCAGGGTGTTCGGTTGTTGGTGCCTCGTGTAGTTTCGTATCCCAAGTACTTCTAGTGAGTGTAGCATAACGATTTTTGCACAAGTCAATCCTAACCCCCACCTGACTATGCCATCCAAAAATTAGCTGAAACAAATGACTAGTTAGATATTTCTAAATCCAACATGGACTGGTAATGAGATCACTAGTGGGATTCGCTATTTGATTGAGCCGTCTCGTCTCATTGACTTTCCTCTCCCATGAGATGAATCGGCCCTACCAAAAATCCGATCTTGAAAACTTAGCAAATTCCTAATTAAAATCTGACTCTCATTCAAATGAAATTTACACTTCTCAAGTCCAATTCATGCAAGCCTGGCTAACTATACTGTTATGAATTATTAGCAAACCTGCCTTTTGAGTTTTTATTGATAATTTTGACTTGTTTCCATTGAAAGTCTGACATTAGGACATTTGATTATCTCTGGACTTATAAGTTTTTAACCCGATGTCGATTGTGAATTTCATCTGACTTTACAGCCCTGTTCACAGTAAAATAATATTTGGTTTAGGCCAGAATACGAGGCTAGGTCTTTAAAAAAGTTCTTTTATGTTTTTCAGTCGATCTTACTTGTGATTTTGAGTCTTCAACCAACCCTACATGCGGCTACATGAGATTTAATGGAACATTTGAAAGGACTAAGGACATTACAGGTATTTTTTCCATATGAAATGAGTGAGTGCCTGTAACTTTGGTTACAAGGAGGCTTCTTTCCAACTGAGTGAGTGTTCGTAACTTTGTTTACAAATGAGTCACCTTTACTTTCTGAGTGAGTGCCTGTAACTTTGCTTGCAAATGAGTCACCTTTACTTCTGAGTGAGTGCCCGTAACTTTGCTTACAAATGAGTTACTTTTACTTCTGAGTGAGTGCCCGTAACTTTGCTTTCAAATGAGTCTCCTTTACTTCTGAGTGAGTGCCTGTAACTTTGCTTACAAATGAGTCACCTTTACTTCTGAGTGAGTGCCCGTAACTTTGCTTTCAAATGAGTCTCCTTTACTTCTGAGTGAGTGCCCGTAACTTTGCTTGCAAGTAAGTCTCCTTTTCTTCTGAGTGAGTACCTGTAACTTTACTTACAACTGAGTCTCCTTTTCTTCTGAGTGAGTGCCTGTAACTTTACTTACAACTGAGTCACTTTTACTTCTGAGTGAGTGCCCGTAACTTTGCTTTCAAATGAGTCTCCTTTACTTCTGAGTGAGTGCCTGTAACTTTACTTACAACTGAGTCACTTTTACTTCTGAGTGAGTGCCCGTAACTTTGCTTTCAAATGAGTCTCCTTTACTTCTGAGTGAGTGCCTGTAACTTTGCTTACAAATGAGTCACCTTTACTTCTGAGTGAGTGCCCGTAACTTTGCTTTCAAATGAGTCTCCTTTACTTCTGAGTGAGTGCCCGTAACTTTGCTTGCAAGTAAGTCTCCTTTTCTTCTGAGTGAGTACCTGTAACTTTACTTACAACTGAGTCTCCTTTTCTTCTGAGTGAGTGCCTGTAACTTTACTTACAACTGAGTCTCCTTTACTTCTGAGTGATTGCATGTAACTTTACTTACAACTGAGTCTCCTTTACTTCGGAGTGAGTGCCTGTAACTTTACTTACAACTGAGTCTCCTTTACTTCTGAGTGATTGCATGTAACTTTGCTTACAAATGAGTCACCTTTACTTCTGAGTGATTGCATGTAACTTTACTTACAACTGAGTCTCCTTTACTTCTGAGTGAGTGCCTGTAACTTTACTTACAACTGAGTCTTCTTTACTTCTGAGTGATTGCATGTAACTTTGCTTACAAATGAGTCACCTTTACTTCTGAGTGATTGCATGTAACTTTACTTACAACTGAGTCTCCTTTACTTCTGAGTGAGTGCCTGTAACTTTACTTACAACTGAGTCTCCTTTACTTCTGAGTGATTGCATGTAACTTTGCTTTCAAATGAGTCTCCTTTACTTCTGAGTGAGTGCCTGTAACTTTGCTTACAAATGAGTCACCTTTACTTCTGAGTGAGTGCGCGTAACTTTGCTTTCAAATGAGTCTCCTTTACTTCTGTGTGAGTGCCCGTAACTTTAGTTACAACTGAGTCTCCTTTTCTTCTGAGTGAGTGCCTGTAACTTTACTTACAACTGAGTCTCCTTTACTCTGAGTGAGTGCCTGTAACTTTACTTTCAAATGAGTCTCCTTTACTTCTGAGTGAGTGCCCGTAACTTTGCTTGCAAGTAAGTCTCCTTTTCTTCTGAGTGAGTACCTGTAACTTTACTTACAACTGAGTCTCCTTTTCTTCTGAGTGAGTGCCTGTAACTTTACTTACAACTGAGTCACTTTTACTTCTGAGTGAGTGCCCGTAACTTTGCTTTCAAATGAGTCTCCTTTACTTCTGAATGAGTGCCTGTAACTTTGCTTACAAATGAGTCACCTTTACTTCTGAGTGAGTGCCCGTAACTTTGCTTTCAAATGAGTCTCCTTTACTTCTGAGTGAGTGCCCGTAACTTTGCTTGCAAGTAAGTCTCCTTTTCTTCTGAGTGAGTACCTGTAACTTTACTTACAACTGAGTCTCCTTTTCTTCTGAGTGAGTGCCTGTAACTTTACTTACAACTGAGTCTCCTTTACTTCTGAGTGATTGCATGTAACTTTACTTACAACTGAGTCTCCTTTACTTCGGAGTGAGTGCCTGTAACTTTACTTACAACTGAGTCTCCTTTACTTCTGAGTGATTGCATGTAACTTTGCTTACAAATGAGTCACCTTTACTTCTGAGTGATTGCATGTAACTTTACTTACAACTGAGTCTCCTTTACTTCTGAGTGAGTGCCTGTAACTTTACTTACAACTGAGTCTTCTTTACTTCTGAGTGATTGCATGTAACTTTGCTTACAAATGAGTCACCTTTACTTCTGAGTGATTGCATGTAACTTTACTTACAACTGAGTCTCCTTTACTTCTGAGTGAGTGCCTGTAACTTTACTTACAACTGAGTCTCCTTTACTTCTGAGTGATTGCATGTAACTTTGCTTTCAAATGAGTCTCCTTTACTTCTGAGTGAGTGCCTGTAACTTTGCTTACAAATGAGTCACCTTTACTTCTGAGTGAGTGCGCGTAACTTTGCTTTCAAATGAGTCTCCTTTACTTCTGTGTGAGTGCCCGTAACTTTAGTTACAACTGAGTCTCCTTTTCTTCTGAGTGAGTGCCTGTAACTTTACTTACAACTGAGTCTCCTTTACTCTGAGTGAGTGCCTGTAACTTTACTTACAACTGAGTCTCCTTTTCTTCTGAGTGAGTGCCTGTAACTTTACTCACAACTGAGTCTCCTTTACTCTGAGTGAGTGCCTGTAACTTTGCTTGCAAGTAAGTCTCCTTTTCTTCTGAGTGAGTGCCTGTAACTTTACTTACAACTGAGTCTCCTTTTCTTCTGAGTGAGTGCCTGTAACTTTACTTACAACTGAGTCTCCTTTACTCTGAGTGAGTGCCTGTAACTTTACTTACAACTGAGTCTCCTTTTCTTCTGAGTGAGTGCCTGTAACTTTACTTACAACTGAGTCTCCTTTACTTCTGAGTGAGTGCCTGTAACTTTACTTACAACTGAGTCTCCTTTACTTCTGAGTGATTGCATGTAACTTTGCTTACAAATGAGTCACCTTTACTTCCGAGTGATTGCATGTAACTTTACTTACAACTGAGTCTCCTTTACTCTGAGTGAGTGCCTGTAACTTTACTTACAACTGAGTCTCCTTTACTTCTGAGTGAGTGCCTGTAACTTTACTTACAACTGAGTCTCCTTTACTTCTGAGTGATTGCCTGTAACTTTACTTAAAACTGAGTCTCCTTTACTCTGAGTGAGTGCCTGTAACTTTGCTTACAACTGAGTCTCCTTTACTCTGAGTGAGTGCCTGTAACTCTGCTCGTTGAAAAATACTCAAGCTCTATCCCAGTTCTCACACCAGATATACTCACATTTCTTATTCCAATTTATTCTAGGTTATGTTCTTGCTGGTAACGGTACAATCAGATCCTTACCCAAGGCTTTGGCTGGCAATGAGGAACTATGCATGAGTGTCGACATAAAAGGGACATCTGATGGAGAACTGGTGGCCAAGGCTCACAATGGAACTGTAACGTGAGTAGCTAACAATGCATTTATTTTTCACCCAAATATTTCCCGCTTTCACCCCAAAGAAAGCTTTGTATTGGCAGCCGCTATACAGTGAGGATTTATAATTAAAAAAAAAACAATAACGGAATTTGAAATTCAGTGTTTTAGATCATGCTTGTGCCACCTGCCGCCAGAAAGAAAATGCGGCTCACAAAAAAAAAATTGTGAAACCCGCGGCATAGTGCCAGTTTTGTAAAATGTGCGGCTTGCAAAACAAATTTTCCCTTTGCGTTGCGAAACCTATATTTCGGTCCAAATTATTATCTATGCCTATGAACATGTCATGTTGTCAAGCAAAGCCTATGTTAAATAAAAGTGAGGGCCGCGGCTTCACCCAGTTATTTGTATTTGGCCCTTTCTATTTAAGGTTGCTCGCCCCTGTTTTAGGGTATTCCAAAAATTTTGCTTTGAGTATCATCTGGGAACAAAACCACTGTCAAGCACTGTAATATGAAGATCTGCTAAAACTATAAATAACTATAGCGGTGAATTTCACATTGGTAAATGCTGATTGGCGGGAGACTTGAGACAGTTAAATTTGATGCGCTCGGAAACAGAGCTGAAAAATAGACTTCATGTAAATGGGATTCCTTGAAAAAACCGAGTATAACATATTATGATTTTTGTGGAAGACTATGTAAAGGCAGCAATTATATGTTTTGTAACTTTTAGGAAAGCAATCTGGCCGTTTTCTGCCTCGACTACCTGGAAAACAGAGAAATTCGTTTTAAAGAAAGCAAACTCTACAGATACCGAGGTTTGTAACACATCTTTTAGCAAAAATTGGGAAAATTGGAATTTTAAAATTGGAAAATTTAATTCGGAATTGCTTGGGATGTGAATCCCATTTCGTAAAACGCGAAAGCTTTTTAAAATTTTGGTAGGGCGTAGTCTAGCTCTGACATGGGCAAACTGCGGCCCGCGGGCTAAATTCAGCCAGTTGGGAAATTCAATCTGGCCCGCCTGATCCTGCTACAACCAAACTAAACCAAATTTTGACATTTTAGCTGAAAATAACTTGAGGAATTTTTTAAAAATGCGATCAAAATGTTTTTTACTTTTGCTTTTGTAACCGTGAATATTGTTCATAAAATGTAATTTATTACGTCGCACTTACATGGCCCGCCAGTCTAAATTTCAAATTTTTGCCCCAGGTCCAGGTCTACTTTATCAGCGCTCAGAGGGTTGTAATCATTTCTTCGCATAATTGAAGTTTTTCTAGAATTCCTTTACAAACAGGGAACACATATTACCAACCTTTCACTCCGCATGTATAAACCTCAAATGTAGATCTTTTGACTCTGTGAGAATTCCTTTGCAATTACGATACGTTCAAATACAGATGGGCAAAGTACGGGCCGCTAGCCAAAAACAGCCGTTGGGTAATTTAATCTGGCCCGCCCGATGCTGCCACAATCAAACTAAAATCAAATTTTGGTTAATTGTTAAGATTACGATTAAATTTTGTTTTTGGTACGAGGTTCATTGATTTTAAACTTTGCTTTTGCAAATATTTTATGAAACGTAACTGTTTACGTCACTTTTACATGGTCCGCTTTTATATTGCTATTTTTTTGCCCCTTTTCTGAAAACCTTGCCCACTCCTGCTCTAGTCTCTGCCTTGCTCAAACTTCAATCTTTTTTATTTCATTTAGGTCCAACTTGTGCTTGACGCATCCGGGAATGTAGAGTTAGACAACATAACAACTTCGAACTCTTCCGAATGTTATGGTCTAGGTAAGTAAGCAAGATTCCAGTATTTTTAAATATTTTACGAAATATTTTACGGATTTGAAAGAAACAAATAGTCTGCGAGTTAAACTTTTTCATCATTTCTTTTTGTAGCTACACCTTGTGCTAAGCGAAATCTCGAGAACGGAACAATTTCTCCTGAGCATAACTTGTACAGTCAGGATCAGGAGGTCAGTTACTCTTGCAGCAGTGGTTACACTTTGGAAGGGGGGGCAGACGGGAACATGCAAAGCTGACGGTTCATGGTCCACAACACCAGTGTGCGCTCCAGGTAGTTTTTTCTTTCTATATTTCCTATTTCTAGCCTGCTGTCTGTATGGCAGCCCAGTAGCCCTGAATGGGGGAGGCCATTAAAATGCCGATTGGGATCATATATCCATCCCTATTTTTAACCTGCTTTCCATAATCAGACCAATGTCCCCGTATGGGAGAGGTACTCATGACGATTGGGTCTGCGTTAAAAACTTCGCAAGTACAATTCGCAATTGCCCAAAGTACTTAATCCATGACCCATCCATTTAATCCACATACAGGCATATTTAAAATATCATGCTTTAATTGTGTTCAATGTAACCTGCTGTTTTGTTGACTAAAAATATGAAAGGATTACTAATCCAAAATGCCGCGGCCATAAAAATGTGTGGCATTGTGTCCGATAATATAATCTTGTTTTCATTCGTAATTTCCGAAAAACGCTTTAGCGTCAAAGACAATCCAACATAATGTGAGCCATTTGCGATTGACAATGTCCAAAAAGCATTTTTGATCTGTCCCAAGCCTCCTAAAACAAAACTTATGGCTTTTCTCCTAGTTTTACTTTTATTATTTTACAATGCCGCTTTTCAATCAAAATATTTGGGTTGTGGATTCACCTCTTTATAATCTCTAGCGTCTCGTCGCCGATGATCATAATATCATGACTTGTTTTTAACAACAATCTCACAATTCCTTGCGAGAACCGAAAACTAAATATTATCGTCCTCGCGTAATTTGTGATTTAGAGAGAATAAATATCAACGTGAAGGTGTTTAAGGCTTTAAGTAGCACACCGCGCTGATGAAAACAATCTGCGATTTAAAGAAAATGCAATGGCACGCGTTATTGGCGACTTTTTCAGTCATCCAAAAAGAACGAAAAAGGAGGTTTCCAACTCTTTCCTAACACTAAGTGCGTTTAGTCAACAATTACGACTTTAGGCAATTTGAAATTTGCCGAGGTATGCGAAAATAAATTTCGTAATTTCGTAAATTCCTCCAAGTCTAGGATTGGGGCCATATATCCATCCCTAAACTACTGTCCATATGTCCTGTGTGGAAGAGGCCATCTAAATGGCGATCCATAACCTGCAATCTGCTATCCATTTGGCAGCCCAATAGACCTGTATAGGGGAGGCTTTGAAATGGCGATTGGGACTATATATCTATCCCTATCGTCACCGTATTCATTCTTGTTGCCTGCGCGCAGATTGGACGCCAGACTTTTTCCAGTTCATTCACCATTACTCATTACCCTGTGGCCTTCGTTTCCTACTCTTAAAAATTAACTTCAGCGGGTGCTCTCTCCTGAATTCGGGGCGCAGCGTATGTGACCGGCGAGCCATTACCGCTGGCCTGCTGGCATCGCACTCACTCAGAAATGAATTGAACCTTCCGGTTTTCATGCTTTCACTCTGAACAACATTCTACACAAACAAATATTGCGACGTGAAGAGCTAGGCGTTAAAACACGTTCATTCTGAATGAACAAGCAATTACTGATATATAAGCAGATGCTGTTATTACGGGTAGTTTTCACACATTCTCTCTGAACAAGGCTCTACGGGAGCAACCAAAGATCGGTGAAAGCCTATTGGTTTCAACCATCCCTTCACTCTGAACAAGGCTCTGCACAAACGTTTACAGATAGGCAACGAGCTAATATTTTTGGAAATATTCCTACATTGAAATAAGAAACTGTACAGGCAACCACTGATACTGTTGATTAATTGCGGCATCCACTGGCGATCGTGTCGGTTGTCTACGAACTCGCTTCGTGACAAAAAGTTTTTTATAGAACTCCAGTTATCTAATATTCAGTACGTTATAGATTTATCATTCTCATATTCTTCAAGTCCCATCGGCCTGTATTATAAATCGCATATTTCACTGCTATGTTTCTTCAGCTCTAATAGCTCAGTGGCTGCACGTAATCTGCTCATAAAAACGTTTACTTTATATCTGAGTAAGTTTGCGAGTCCTTTCTTGAATCCAACAAAATGACGTATGGTCAAAACTACTGAGGGATCACAATCATATTATTGTAAAACTACAAAAGACAATTATCCTGAATAAAACGAAGAAAAGTTTTCAATTAAAACGTAGAAATGAATATTCTTCTTAATAATAGTTTCATAAATATCTGACTTCAAACATTTTTGCATGTCATTTTTGTTTCAGAATGTGGCGTTGTCTATGATTCAAGATGTTTTCGAGCAATCGTTTATGGCGCACATAACGTCTCATTAAGCGTCGCTGAATCTCTTTGCGAAAAGAAACTTGCCAACATTTATGACGTCACACACTACAACCGGGTTGTTGATTATTTACGACCAATGATTCCTGATGGATCGGATTACATTGTTGTTCGTACGGGAATGACTTACAAGGTAGGTCGACTCTGAATCATGTTGTTTATGCGGTCATACCTGAAATCATTATAAAATAATGTTTATAATATGAAATATAAATGTTATGGCCGATATTGCTTCCGCATTACCACGTGCTATTACATTTTGTTTTCAAACCCATATGACCGTTGAATAGAAGATAAGTTCAAATCAAATCCTACAGGATTAGAAAAATTCATTTGGCAGGGTTTTCCGGTTTCTATCAAAAAATTCAACTTCAAACTTTCGTCTTCCTGTAATATTTCCGGGAGATTCAAAATTTGACTTCAACTTCGGTGGAACGCTTCAAGTTTACAGCTCTGTCACCAAATCAAAAAATACTAATTCAAACTAATTTGATTTATGTGTCTATTTCATTCAATTCTTATCCACCAACGGTAATCACTGAAGTGTGACTGAGCAGAATGGTCACGTCATGACGTCACGCTTCATTAAGTTTTTTACTGAAGACCAAATAAGTTTTATTTTGCTTTGTCAGATCATATGGCAAGGATTACTGGTTCAACCAAACTCTCAAACTGAACTGCGTTATATTTCTGAAAATATATTTTATATCGACAGGGCGGTCAGCTGTATTCAACGACGGGCCAAGCTATGTCTCTACCAACTGTGGCTTGGTATCATGGTCGTCCGTATTCCGATGCATCGTACACAACTGTTATTGTTGTTGTCAATCGAAAACCGGTTGATCAATGGATTTATAATGTTCCTCCTTTCCATGCATATCACGGAGCCATCTGTGAAATTGATTTATAACTCTGTACATTCAATGATCGATAAACAAAAACGGTAAAATTACTTGAGTTTGAGATTAATTGTTATTCACCCTAGTAGATTTATTAAAACTTTAACTTACTATTTCCACAGTTGAACAAGCTTATGCTGTTGAATTCCCGAATATTCGTTATCCATACATTCAGCTTAATTTACACCCAAATTCACTATTTCCACGTATCACAGTTGAACAAGCATATAAAGTAAATAGATTCTGCATGCGGTATATAAACCTCATATTAAATTCATTGTTAGATTTCTACCAAACGAACTATTTTTCATTTCTTAGATGTGTCCAAAAAAAGTTTGAATTTATTATTTTAATTCAATTTGTTTCTGTCTGAATTTGAACAATCTTAAAATTTTGGCGATTTGGTTTATTCAAATATATATTTCATGTTCAGGAAATTTCATTAAATTACAAAAATGTTCGATACTCTCCGTAAACGGCTTCGTACCTGTAACCTCTAAATATCGTAAAATTTAAATTTTCAAAAATTACAGGAAGAAATTGTCTTCAGATATTTGTCATTGAACTTTATTTGGATAAAGCTGTAAAATCGGAGGAAAATCACAATCGACTCTGAAAAAAATCAAATTTTAACGATAAAAACTTTGGTAAATGCAAACTTCTCCGTTGAACCTCCCAGACTCGCCGTCGATCGACTTTTAAAACTATGAAAAAAAAAATCATTTCGTTTGCTATATCTTTTTTGTGTGTTAATTAGTGTGATATTCAATAAGTATATACCGATATTTTATTTGTTAGATGTGTTTCTGGATCTTATCATTTGTTGACAAAATATTTTATCAATTAAAGTTCAAATTATTTTTCACGAACTAAACTTAACAAATGAAATTCATGGAAAATAATTTGAACTTTCAGTGCAGAAATATTATTTGCTACTTGGTGTGAATAAAATTGTCTTGCAAAACGTCATCGATGTATTTTTAAAACGATAGAGACTGAATTCATTTCCCAAAAAACTAAGAAATTAGCTTTATCAGAGAATCGATATCAAAAAACAGTCATATTGGAATTGTCCAAATAAGACAAAATTTTTCCAGGAGTAATCCCCCGAGCATGTCGCATTTTTCACTCGAACTTATAGAAAATCAAATTTGGTTGAGAAATCCTTTACAACTATCAAGTTGTTTTACCTTAACTTTGGGTTCGAGTTTTCAATTTGTATTTTAGGTTTAAAAACTGAAATCAATTACATTTTATTTTTCTTGTGTGTGAATTCTATAGATTGATGATTTTTTTTAATTATATTTGCTATCGTATTTCATTTATTTGAATTGTTCTTAATCACGCCATTAAATAAGATATTTTCCTGGTTATTCAATAGTTAAAAAAGCTGAAAAATAATTTGAAACTTCAGTGGGATAAGAACAAAATACGAGGAAATGTTAGGAATTTATCAAAATTAAAACAAATTCCAGCATTGTCTTCTCTTTGAATTAATCAAGTTTCATTTTTCGTATGCCCCTCTCTCCTCGGGCTCTTAAAACATGACAAACATTTTATTTCTTTTGTTTTTCAATTTTCTTGTGTGTGAATCAGTGTAATATATAATATGTATATATAGATCAGTAGTTCTCAACCTTTTATGACTCGTGGCCCTTTTTCGTGGGCTTTTAGCACTCATGGCCCCTACTTTAATATTCCAGAGGTATTAATAGGGTTATTTTCATTGATAGATTCCAAAATCCCATTATGTTAAAACAATTTGCACAAAAGAGAGCGAAAACACCCTGCGAAATAACCTTGTTGAGCAGCAAACTAGGAAAAACTGTAAGATTTCTTTCAAAGTGAAAATTAAATTCAGATTTCAGCCCATCCTTGGGGCCCTCTTCAACTCCTCTGTGGCCCCCTTAGGGGGCCGAGGGCCCCCGGTTGAGAACCGCTGATATAGATATTTTATTTGTTAAATGTGTTTCTGGATCTTAATCAATTTTTGGCAAGATATTTTGTCAGTAAAAGTTCAAATTATTTTTCACGAACTGAAGTTACAAATGAAATTCATGAAATTTTTAGTGCAGATATATTATTTGCCTCTATGTGTGAATAACATTGTTTTGCAAAACGTATCGATGTATTCAGTGATGAAATATATTTCGCAGAAAACTAAGAAATTAGCTTAATCGGAGAAGACAAGTAGGGAAAGGGAACACTTAGATGGGAACACTCTCATTGAGGGAACCCGTTGTTAGTGAGTTCGATACAGAAGAGAACCCGTTCCCAAAATCGCGAATCCCATCACTGGTATAGGTTACAAAGCTATGTCTTGGACTGACAATGCCTTATATTTGTACCAGTTTGTATTGATTTATATTCTCTATGAAGGGTATGTAACATTCTGGGTGCTCCAGAAGTATGTGTACCAATATGGAGGAAACTAATTTTGTTCGACTATTTTACTTCCAGCTGTGTAAAGGTCTAGAAAACACGATTTAATTGCAAAATATTTCTAATCATCAATCAATGATATGTTGTGTAATTTTTAGGAAAGCAATCTGGCCGTTTTCTGCCTCGACCACCTGGAAAACCGAGAAATTTGTTTTAAAGAAAATAAACTCTACAGATACCGAGGTTTGTAACACATTTGTTAGCGAATTTTTTTTAAATCGGAATTGCTTGGGATGTGGATCCCATTTCATAAAACGCGAAAACTTTTTAAAATTTTGGTAGGGCGTAGTCTAGCTCTGAAATGGGCAAACTACGTCCCGCGGGCTAAATTCAGCCAGTTGGGAAATTCAATCTGGCCCGCCTGATCCTGCTACAACCAAACTAACGCAAATATTGACATTTTAGCTGAAAATAACTTGAGGAATTTTTTAAAAATGCGATCAAAATGTTTTTTTACTTTTGCTTTTGTAACCGTGAATATTGTTCATAAAATGTAATTTTTTACGTCGCACTTACATGGCCCGCCAGTCTAAATGTCCAAATTACTACCCCAGGTCCAGGTCTAGCTTTATCAGCGCTCAGAGGGTTGTAATCATTTTTTCGCATAATTGAAGTTTTTCTATAATTCCTTTACAAACAGGGAACACATATTACCAACTTTTCACTCCGCATGTATAAACCTCAAATGTAGATCTTTTGACTTTGTGAGAATCCCTTTGCAATTACGATACGTTCAAATACAGATGGGCAAAGTACGGGCCGCTAGCCAAAAACAGCCGTTGGGTAATTTAATCTGGCCCGCCCGATGCTGCCACAATCAAACTAAAATCAAATTTTGGCGTTCGAGCTAAAAAAAAAATGGCTCAAAGAAATTGTTAAGATTACGATTAAATTTTGTTTTGGTACGAGGTTCATTGATTTTAAACTTTGCTTTTGCAAATATTTTATGAAACGTAACTGTTTACGTCACTTTTACATGGTCCGCTTTTACATTGCAATTTTTTTGCCCCTTTTCTAAAATCCTTGCCCACTCCTGCTCTAGTCTCTGCCTCGCTCAAACTTCAATCTTTTTTATTTTATTTAGGTCCAACTTGTGCTTGACGCATCCGGGAATGTAGAGTTAGACAACATAACAACTTTGAACTCTTCCGAATGTTATGGTTTTGGTAAGTAAGTAAGATTCCAGTATTTTTTAAAATGTATCAATGGCTGTTTGCAAAAGAAGCATTGATTGAAGTGACGAAATATTTTACAAATTTAAAAGAATCACAAACAAATACTCTGCGAGGTAAATTTTTATCATTTCTTTCTGTAGCTACACCATGTGCTAAGCGAAATCTTGAGAAGGGAACAATTTCTCCTGAGCAGGAATTGTACAGTCAAGATCAGGAGGTCAGTTACTCTTGCAACTATGGTTACACTTTGGAAGGAAAACAGACGGGAACATGCAAAGCTGACGGTTCATGGTCCACATCACCAGTGTGCAGTCGTGAGTTATTTTCTATAGCAATCAGAATCATTCAACCACCCCCGTTTCTAACCTGCTGTCCACATGACAGCCCAATAGCCATGTATGCAGGAGGTCATTTAAATAGCTATTGGGGTCATATCCATCCTTTAACCTACTGTCCATACGGCAGCACAATAGCCCTGTGTGAGGGAGGACATTCTAATAGCGATTTGGTTCATATATAAATCATATATTCATGAGGGTTAGATGGAAACACAGCTGTGTTCAACGATTTTACCGCAAGGCCATCTTTACCACAATATTGTGCATGTTTTCTCTGAACAAGGTTTTGAGAGCGCACAGGAGCTGTTAGGTTTGGTGTACCAAATACTCCTCAAGTTAATTTTGAACTTTTTTTATCATTTGTTGTTTGTAGCTATACAATGTGTAAAGCGAATTCTTGAACAGGGAACAATTTCTCCTGAGCAGGAATTGTACAGTAAGCATCAGGAGGTCAGTTACTCTTGCAGCAGTGGTTACACTTTGGAAGGGGGGCAGACGGGAACATGCAAAGCTGACGGTTCATGGTCCACAACACCAGTGTGCACTCGTGAGTTATTTTCTATAGCAATCAGGACCATTCAACCATCCCCGTTTCTAACCTGCTGTCTATATGGCAGTCCAATAGCCATGTATGCAGGAGGTCATTTAAATAGCGATTATGGTCATATATAAATCATATATCCATGAAGGTTAGATGGAAACACAGCTGTGTTTAACGATTTTACCGCAATGCCATCGTGACCACAAAATTGAGCATGTTTTCTCTGAACAAGGTTTTGAGAGCGCACAGAAGCCGTTAGGTTTAGTGTACCAAATACTCCTCAAGTTAAGTTAACTTTTTTATCATTTGTTTTCTTGTAGCTATACAATGTGCAAAGCGAAATCTTGATAAGGGAACAATTACTCCTGAGCATGAATTATACAGTCAGGGTCAGGAAGTCAGTTACTCTTGCAGCAATGGTTACATTTTGGCTGGGGGGCAGACGGGAACATGCAAAGCTGACGGTTCATGGTCCACAACACCAGTGTGCGCTCCAGGTAGTTTTTTTTTCCTATATTTCCTCTTTCTAGCCTGCTGTCTGTATGGCAGCCCAGTAGCCCTGTATGATGGAGGCCATTCAAATGCCGATTGGGATCATATATCCATCCCTATTTATAACCTGCTTTCCATAAGGCAGACCAACGTCCCCGTATGGGAGAGGTACTTTAAATAGCGATTGGGTCTGCGTTAAAAACTTCGGAAGTACAATTCACAATTGCCCAAAGTACTTAATCCATTACCCATCAATCCATTTAATCCACATACAGGCATATTAAAAATATCATGCTTTAATTGTGTTCAATGTAACCTGCTGTTTTGTTGACTAAAAATATAAAAGGATTACTAATTCAAAATGCCGCCGTCATAAAAATGTGTGGCATTGTGTCCGATAATATAATCTTGTTTTCATTCGTAATTTCCGATAAACGCTTTAGCGTCAAAGACAATCCAACATAATGTGAGCCATTTGCGATTGACAATGTCCAAAAAGCATTTTTGATCTGTCCCAAGCCTCCTAAAACAAAACTTATGGCTTTTCTCTGAGTTTTGCTTTTATTATTTTACAATGCCGTTTTTCAATCAAAATATTTGGGTTGTGGATTCACCTCTTTATTATCTTTAGCATCTCCTCGCCGATGAATATAATATCATGACTTGTTTTTAACAACAATCTCACAATTCCTTGCGAGAACCGAAAAGTAAATATTATCGTCCTCGCGTAATTTGTGATTTAGAGAGAATAAATATCAACGTGAAGGTGTTTAAGGCTTTAAGTAGCACACCGCGCTGATGAAAACAATCTGCGATTTAAAGAAAATGCAATGGCACGCGTTATTGGCGACTTTTTCAGTCATCCAAATAGAACGAAAAAGGTGGTTTCCGACTCTTTTCTAACACTATGTGCGTTTAGTCAACAATTACGACTTTAGGCAATTTTGAAATTTGCCGAGGTATGCGAAAATAAATTTCGTAATTTCGTAAATTCCTCCAAGTCTAGGATTGGGGCCATATATCCATTCCTAAACTACTGTCTATATGCCCTGTGTGGAAGAGGCCATCTAAATGGCATTTGAAATGGCGATTGGGACTATATATCTATCCCTATCGCCACCGTATTCATTCTTGTTGCCTGCGCGCAGATTGGACGCCAGACTTTTTCCAGTTCATTCACCATTACTCATTACCCTGTAGCCTTCGTTTCCTACTCTTAAAAATTAAATTCAGCGGGTGCTCTCTCCTGAATTCGGGGCGTAGCGTATGTGACTGGCGAGCCATTACCGCTGGCCTGCTGGCATCGCACTCACTCAGAAATGAATTGAACCTTCCGGTTTTCATGCTTTCACTCTGAACAACATTCTACACAAACAAATATTGCGACGTGAAGAGCTAGGCGTTAAAACACGTTCATTCTGAATGAACAAGCAATTACTGATATATAAGCAGATCCTGTTATTACTGGTAGTTTTCACACATTCTCTCTGAACAAGGCTCTACAGGAGCAACCAAAGATAGGTGAAAGCCTATTGGTTTCAACCATCCCTTCACTCTGAACAAGGCTCTGCACAAACGTTTACAGATAGGCAACGAGCTTATATTTTTGGAAATATTCTTACATTGAAATAAGAAACTGTGCAGGCAACCACTGATACTGTTGATTAATTGCGGCATCCACTGGCGATCGTGTCGGTTGTCTACGAACTCGCTTCGTGACAAAAAGTTTTTTATAGAACTCCAGTTATCTAATATTCAGTACGTTATAGATTTATCATGCTCATATTTTTCAAGTCCCATCGGCCTGTATTATCAATCGCATATTTCACTGCTATGTTTCTTCGGCTCTAATAGATCAGTGGCTGCACGTAATCTGCTCATAAAAACGTTTACTTTATATCTGAGTAAGTTTGCGAGTCCTTTCTTGAATCCAACAAAATGACGTATGGTCAAAACTACTAAAGGATCACAATCATATTATTGTAAAAAACTACAAAAGACAAATATCCTGGATAAAATGAATAAAAGTTTTCAATTAAAACGTAGAAATAAATATTCTCCTTAATAATAGTTTCATAAATATCTGACTTCAAACACTCTTTGTCATTTTTGTTTCAGAATGTGGAGTTGTCTATAATTCAAGATGTATTCGAGCGATCGTTTACAAAGCACAGAACGTCACATTAAGCGTCGCTGAAACTCTTTGCGAAAACAAACTGGCTAACATTTATGACGTCACACATTACAACCGGGTTGTTGATTATTTACGACCAATGATTCCTGATAGAAGGGATTACATTGTTGTTCGTACGGGAATGACTTACAAGGTTGGTCGAGTCTGAATCATGTTGTTTATGCGGTCATACATGAAATCATTATAAAATAATGTTTATAATATGAAATATAAATGTTATGGCCGATATTGCTTCCGCATTACCACGTGCTATTACATTTTGTTTTCAAACCCATATAAACGTTGAATAGAAGAGAAGTTCAAATCAAATCCTACAGGATTAAAAAAATTCATTTGGCAGGGTTTTCCGGTTTCTATCGAAAAAATCAACTTCAAACTTTCGTCTCCCTGTAATATTTCCGGGAGATTCAAAATTTGACTCCAACTTCAGTGGAACGCTTCAAGTTTACAGCTCTGTTACCAAATCAGAAAATACTAATTCAAACTAATTTGATTTATGTGTCTATTTCATTCAATTCTTATCCACCAACGGTAATCACTGAAGTGTGACCGATCAGAATAGTCACGCGATGACGTCACGCTTCATTAAGTTTTGTACTGAAGACCAAATAGGTTTTACTTGCTTTGTCAGATCATATGGCAAGAATTACGGGTTCAACCAAATTCTCAAACTGCACTTTGTTATATTACTGAAAATATATTTTATATCGACAGGGCGGTCAGCTGTATTCAACGACGGGCCAAGCTATGTCTCTACCAACTGAGGTTTGGTATAGTGGGTATCCGTATTCCGATGCATCGTACACAACTGTTGTTGTTTATGTCAATCGAAACCCGGAGGATCAAGGGATTTTTAATTATTCTCCTTCCTATGCATATCAGGGAGCCATCTGTGAAATTGATTTATAACTCTGTACATTGAATGATCGATAAACAAAAACTGTAAAATTACTTGAGTTTGAGATTAATTGTTATTCACCCTAGTAGATTTATTAAAACTTCAACTTACTATTTCCACAGTTGAACAAGCTTATGCTATTAAATTTACACCCCAAATTACTATTTCCACGACCCACAGTTGAACAAGCATATAAAGTAAATAGATTCTGCATGCGGTATATAAAGCTCATATTATATTCATTGTTAGATTTCCACCAAACGAACTATTTTTTATTTCTTAGATGTGTCCAAGAAAAGTTTGAATTGAATATTTTAACTCAATTTGTTTCTGTGTGAATGTGTGAATGATAAAAACTTTGGTAAATGCAAACTTCTCCGTTGAACCTCCCAGACTCGCCGCCCATCGACTTTTTAAACTATGAAAAAAAAAAATTCATTTCGTTTGCTATATCTTTTTTGTGTGTTAATTAGTGTGACATACAATAGGTATATACCGGTATTTTATTTGTTAGTTGTGTTTCCGGATCTTGTCATTTGTTGACATGATATTTTATCAATTAAAGTTCAAACTATTTTTCACAAACTGAACTTAACAAATGAAATTCGTGAAAAATAATCTTTCAGTGCAGAAATATTATTTGCTACTTTGTGTGAATAAATTTGTCTTGCAAAACGTTATCGATGTATTTTAAAAACGATAGAGATCAAATTTATTTCCCAGAAAACTAAGAAATTCGCTCAATCGGAGAATTGAAATCAAAAAACATTTCTACTGAAATTGTCCGAATAAGACAAAATTTTTCCAGGGGTAATCCCTGAGCACTCGAACTCCCAGAAAATCAAATTTTGATTCAAACTCCAACTCACATTTCCACTTCTCGAACATATAGCAGTAATTCCCATGCAGGGGTCACAGAGAAGTTGCAGAGGGACCACAATGCTAGACACATAACAGATTTTACCTTTCCCGTTTCCCGTTCTTTTCAGTTTTATCACCTGACAAGGCTATTTCACAGGGTGTTTTTGCTTTATTGAGCATGAATTGTTTGAATCTACAAATCAATTCGGAATTTACCAATAACAATATAAACACTACTGTAATGACAAACAGGGGGCCATGAGCCAAAAAAGGTTAGGAACCACTGACATAAAGCAAAAAACCATTCTCGCTTTATGTTTGTAACAGATAGAGAAACAGATTATTAACATACAACGCAGCAGAACTGAAGAATCAAAATAATCAACGTCCGTGTCTAAAGCGTTATGCGGCGTTAATAATTAACAAATTATTGAATTTAACAACTCCTAAATAAATCTAGTTTATACATTCTTGTGGTAGATAATATTTCAGGTTTCAATTTGAGAAAACAGCACCGCCACATTTGAAAATACCAAACGAGATAGCGATTGGGGACCGCCGACTTATCGATCTAGCGGCGTGTATCCTTCGCTCTGACTCAATAGCGACACCGCGTAACCTATCACTAATTAATCAATAACTCGCTAATTATACGATATAATTCAACCAAAATAAATAAGCTTCTGGTCCGAGATGTTATGAATGCACATGCAAAATTAAGAGATTCAACATCGCTTTCGTGAGATATCGCGAGTGTCTAACAGACAACCAGGCAACAAATACCTATCAACATACTCACCGGTCGACGTCGATAAGTAATTATTTTTTATCTAGTTGGGATTATGGGAAGGGTTTGAAATGATTTGAATGTTTGAATTCTCGGCGCAACCTGCATCTCTAACCATAACTGATTAATTTTCTTATTTTGGACGCAGGCAGGGTATGTTATATTTTGCACGGAGGCTTTGTACAAAAGATCCAAATCTTCCACTGTTATTGTAGGTTACATCTTGTTTTAGCTGGATAGTCGGGCCATGATGTAGCAAACGCCTAAAAATATATAAGCTGTTTAATATTGATAAATGAGTTAAATTTGGGGTTTACAACATTTCTTGTCGGTGGACCATATGACCAAATTCAGACATCTAGCTGGGCCACACAAAAAAATAGAGGGAAAGATAGAAGATTTAACGCAAGGAAAATTGCAAAAATCAATATTTATTTTCATCCATGAGAGCGCCTTTTCAAACTGAAACTCTCGGATTAAGATTAGGAAAAAATCTGAGTGGGTCACACTAAATGACGGTGGCGTTGGTTGTGGGCCGGCGGGACGCCTGTTGCACACCCCTGAGGCAAAGTACTGGAAACGTGCTAATGGAAGATTACCAATCCTCTATTTCTGTGAAACAATTTTCAGCTATGTAAACAATATATTTCCGCTCTTACAATTCGTGATAAACTGCGCCGAATAATCTTGTTTGCTTTAAAGTTCAGTCAAAAGAAAATGAACATGTCATATTTACGCAAGTTTGCATAATAGTCCGGCAATATCGGCCCTCAACATTGTTTTGGGACATAATTTTTTTTATATTGTTTAGATATAATGTCGATGACATAAATAATGATACCCAGGTGGGTGTGGAGTATATAATGTTGAGCAATTTTTTTTAAATGGATTTCAAGTATTCGTACCAAGATGACGCACAACCTGAATCCTAACCTGGTACACATGCAATGTTCAGGTTGTGCGCCATCTTGGTATGAATCCTTCAGGAGCACCTTTTTGTTAAAAACAATTATTTCATAACTACATGGGTTAGTTTTGCATACATAGTAACATTGAATCACCTTACAATGTCAGAAATTCAATTTTAGTAGATTAATGATAGTTTATTTCACTAATATAAGCCAAGATCTATCGACAGCAGCTAGCCACTTTCTTTTGCGCTCGTCAAACTACATTTGTGTTGCTGCGGGCATTTCGTTTTCCTTCTTAAAGCTTAGGGACTTAGAAAACATTTTATTAGTTGAAATGGATTGGAATATTTGACCTCGTCTTTGACTCCGAACGAGGCCATGCAAACCATCCACTGGTATCTAACGATGTGCAACGTGTTTTCTTTTGGAAAAACCGGAACCTTTCAGGTGCAGCATTGACTTTGACCAAATTAATATACCCTTGGAGAGATAGAAGGTATGCGTATGCGAAACCGAGATGTGCACCTGTTATGCCAACATAGTTGAGTCAAACATTTAATCACTAGTCGTCACACACATTTTCCTGCGTGCTTCGGTTGTACGTAGTAACGCGCACATTTTTGCGAACATGCATCAAATTCCACTTGTTTATTGAGCTATAGGTTTTCGTTATGATTTCATTCCATAGAATTTGTATGCTGTTTTAACGAATACTAGTTTCAGCTTTTTTATTCATTCAAACCGCGTGTTGGAAGTAAGTTTTGTAATACTGCGTGTTGGTTTTCAAATGGTTTATTCATATCCATTACTTGACATCCTTAAATCGGTGATGCCAGTAAATCTTTAATACAAAAAAATCAGTATTATCTGCAATAAAAACAGCAGTACCTACTCAAATGACAGCTGGGGGATTACCTGCTCCATCGCGTGCCTCTTACCAGTTTACATGAGTGCCAATTGGTATCTAAGCTCAGCCAGAGACAAAAAGTTTCGGATTACGGTTGGCGTGACGAATTTCAAATAAATATATATTCCACAATAGGAATATTTGATGCATATTACTGAAAGTTACGCCTTATATGTCTTTTCCCATTGCACTATTCCTTTACTGATATTCGATAATATGACGCTCATCTGACATAGTTCTTAAGGTGTGTAGATCGGTATTCCACGCTGTTCAGATGGGAATGCGCGAATATATCTTAGAATCGCTAATATTGGTTTTCAATGCGATGAAATCCCATCTTGGCATTTCTGCCTTTTTCAATTGCTGCTAATATTTATCGGAGAAGTTCTGTGGCGTGGTTATCAAATGAAGAACACATGGGAGTATTTTTTCCACTTCTTTACTACTCTCAAACCTTGACATTTTGTCAAACCTTTTTTCCATTCAACCTTTTTTTTGAAACAGCACATTTGGCTATGTTGTAGTGTAACTTTTGTGGCCTCACATTTTTGATATTTGTATTCAGATCTCTTGGCCTTGGGGCTCTGTCAAGCAAAGTTACATATAAAATATTGGTTGTAAGTTGCAAAACATGATCATGTTGCTCGGCATTTTACCACCCGCATATATATCATTCATTGTCGAGAATAATAAGGAGATTATAAAATCTAAAACCCGTTTTCGTGAATTTTTTGTTGTAGCTGAATTCGAGGGACAGCATGACAACAGACAAGAGAAGCACGGTAGTCTCTTATGGTTTATGACAGGGTTTCCTAAAATGGGACCCCGGCCCCCTTGAAGGCCACTGATCGGTTATCTGGGAGCACAAACAAACAGATGGAAATGCGAATATATAATAACAATGTATTTTTATAGAAGAGAAGAAGCAAAAGTGATGAAAGTCTGGAACTTAAGATTGAACTACATTCTTTCTCAGGGATATACTATAAAATGTAGCAATTTTCTCATTCTTGTTCTCGTGATAGCATTATCTTTCACTGCATCGTCGTAATCGGTGACCGTACATTTGAACCCATGTACATTTGAACCCATGCGTATATCCACGGGTTCAATCTATATGCGAGTGCTAAAACCGATGGGTTAGGGTTAGTATGGGTTTAACTATCAGTGAAACAAAAAAAATTCCATAGTTGCAATAGCATACAGATGCAATTGTCATGGGTTCAAATGTACGTGGGTTCAAATGTAATGGAACCTCGTAATCATCCCGCTGCATAACAATCCTTGCTAGCAAATAATTGACTGTTCTCCACCGGGTGTATATTCATTTGAACCACTGCCGGCTGCATTAGCAGGCTTGTATTGTTAATTGCAACAAGAGCGGGTGTTTTGAAATAGTACTCTTTATTTTACGCGGTTGTTACAACAGTATTTCCATTTACAATACTAACCTGTTACAATACTATGTTCAGTTTGTGCGCCATCTTGGTGAACAAACAACGGAAGCACCAAATTTACTATGAAATAAAAATCAATAACTTTTAG